TACCATGTTCTTGATTTGTTAAGAGATTATTTTTTTCAGTCCTATTGTTACTTTTTCAAAGTTGTATATGGCCATGACAAATGAGGAATTCTAAAAGAATTCATAAAAATACAGAAAGCATATCTTGAAAAATCTGATCACAATGCATACAGATCTGAATGATGCCTTAGTGCAGAGGAGATTGCAAGAAATTGTAGAAGATGCCTCTAAGATATTAGGAATATACACTTTGAACCAGATTTACTGTAGAACTGGCTGAAACAACTTGTTTATCAGGCAACTATTTCTGGGTTGACAGCTAAAGTTGTCCTCTGAGTGCCATGCTGGGAGTGACACTGAAAAAAATATTACAAGACTGGCTGTCCCAGGGCTAGAATTAATCTTAGCCTGATCTGCAAATAAAGATGCAAATACTTTCCTCATTGCCTTCATAGGAAAAAAAGGAAGTATGACTTTCATGGATGGATAGGCAAAGGGATGGGATTAATGGAAGGAAAAAAACACCCTGACTTATAGCAGGGCTTAAACGAACAGCATATGGCATTTTTCCTCGCCTTCATATTATCTACTGAGAGCCACAGCCTAGCAAAGCTCTTACTAATAGTACTGAGCTACCAGATGGGAAAGTCCTCCTGATGGGATATCCCAAATATCTGTATTCCCGTCCTTCCTGCTCCCACCAATGGTTTCAAAATAGCTGTTCCCTGATTACAGGACGGGAAGCTTTTTGCTCAGCTGTGAAACAAGTGGGAACTGTCCAATATTACACTATGAAGATTTGTAGATCTGGACTTGTGCTTTTCTCCTCATTCCTGTAACCACCATGTAGAAGCCCTGGTGGCAGAGTGGTTAAAATGAAGTATTGCAGGCAAACTCTGCAAACAGCCTGGAGTTCGATGCTGAGGGGGTTCAAGGTTGACTCAACCTTCCATCCTTCCGAGATTGGTAAAATGAGGATCCTGATTGTTGGGGACAATTTGCTGATATTGTAAAGTAGCGTCCCTCAACCTTTTGGGCACCAGGGACTGGTTCCATGGAGAGAGGTTTGTCCGCGGACTGGAAGGGTGTGGTTTCATGCGCTGCCTGCATCCTGTGGATGGGTTTCACTTGTTTGTGTGGACCGGCAAACCGGTGCCCGTCCATGGACCGGGGCTTGGGGACCCTTGCTGTAAAGCACCATGGGGTGGTATATAAGACTAAATGCTATTGCTATTGCTATATACCTTTGCTAATAAGAACCCCCTGGATGAATTCAGCTAAATCCCTCATTAAAATAAACCCTTTGCCCTGTTTGGGATGTATAAAGTAGTTTGATATTTTTTTAAAAAAACTGCTTCTTCCACAATGGTGAGATTTTATTTATATTTAAACTTGGATTTTAAATTTGGATTTTTGACACTAATCAGCTATTAGAGGTTTTAAAACATGCCAATAAGGTTAAAAAGCCAACCATAGTGATTACCTTTAATTTTTGCAGGTATTTCACAGTCATCACAGTGAGCACACCTCCAATATTTCAAACTTCAAGGGCTCTTTGTTCAGTGATTCCCCCCCCCCATCTGAGTGTAGACGACTTGTAAGCAATTCCTTTAAAGCACATACTTTATACTAGAAAGGACACACTGATTTGGATTCGTTCATTACATGACATTTGGTAGGGTTACCACATATTTAGTACCTTTCTTATGAACCTAAATTGAGGCTAATTCGGCAAACGTTTTTCATGCTGATTGGATATTCCACAGAATGCCCAAGAAAGATTATCAACGAACCATATTTATCAATATAGTTTGGAACAAAATAATCAAGTTTAAAATGCAGTTATGCTGTATGTACCCAAAATTGGGCATTGATAAATACATAAAGTACTGTGGCTTTATCAACCACTGTGCAAAGCAAAAGACTATTCTATTGTGACTATATTAAATGAGATCTATACTCTTGGACTGATGTGTTCAGTTTCAACTTCTGAACTAGCGGTCTATTGGCCAAATTGAACTATTGTTCAATACAGTGTTTAAAAATGATGAGTTTTGTTATAAGCTGCATACCTCATTCTACTTTCCCTTTCCTATTTTTCTTTTTAGGCATGGATTTTTCCTTTTTCTTTTCTTTTTTCTTTTTCTTTTATACAAAGAAAGAGAAAAAAAACAATGGGCTGTAAAAATCTGTAAAATGAGCTGTAAAAAACAACCATTAAGTGTCAACCAAGAGTGATTTTCCATCTCCTTTTGATGCCATCTAGGGCTCATATAGTTTTCTGCAACATACTTTTAGTAGCTTTAAATTTAATTTACTTCAGCTTTCTGAGTTTGCAGAGCACATTGAACTAATATAGATTCATCCAACATTGTAGATGAAATAAGGCTGGCAATTTTCTGCCTCAATGTGTTCTGTAAACAGAATCATAATGTCGCTTATTTTGGCTTAGTGTGATACAGATTGTAGTACAACAGTACTACAGTAAGGAAAACTCACATTATATATATATATATATGCAGCATCTCCATGGTTATGCGATCAAAATTCAGAAGCTTGGCAACTGACTCACATTTATGATGGTTGCAGCGTCCCAGGGTCACATGATCACCTTCTGACAAGCAAACTCAATGGGGTAGCAAGATTCCATTAACAACCATGTCACTAGTCTAACAACTGCAATGATTCACTTAACAACTGTGGCAAGAAAAGCGTAACATGGGGCAAAATTCACTTAACAAATATTTCATTTCAGCAGCAGAAATTTTGGGATCAATTGTGGTCATGAAGTCAGGGATTACCTGTACTTGAACCTAGATATATAACCCCATCAGGCTATAATTAGAATATTGTGATTAAAGAAATTTAAAAATAGTGCAATACAGCTAGTCCTTGACTTACAACCACAACTGAACCACTAGCATTTAAATTAAAAAAAAAGAGGTAAAACAGATTCTTGGCAATGCATCTCTCTTTTATCCTAGTATCAAAAGGCAATGTCCCCTAGTGACACATTACAAGCCAGGTCCCTGGAGGCCAAAAATTGTCAGTTACCCTTGCGATATATCATGGACTATAAACCACAATCCCTGAGTTTGCACGCCATACAAAGGGAAAACCAAACAAAAGACAAATGTCTTGGGACAGTCATTTTCATACTCCCATGCATTTATGCATGAACACAATAGTCCCTGAGATTTAAAATACTGAAAATGACAAGCCTGACTAACATGCTGACCGGTCATCTGTTTGGGTGGGGCCTGATCAGCAGTTTGAAGTCCTGGCTTAGTATAATAAGTGAACCTAGTTGGGGGTTAACCACACCCCCTAAGCACAGCACAAACATCCATAATTATTGTCATGTGTTCTCATGTCTTCTTCTCAGCTCAGGCCACAGCTGAGTCAGCTGAATATCTTCAGCTGTCTACAATAGTGTTTTCTCTCTGCTCCCGATACAAGATTTGTCATGGTTGCGATAGCACAGTTTTACTGATGTGGCCGATGGGATCTGCCTGGTTATATTAGTCATTTTAGGCTACTGTAGTTTACTACCTATGGAACTACTGTGTGTGACAGGTAGACCAAACCTCAGTGGCTTCCACAGAAATATCTTCCCTGTATTATGCCTGACTGGGATATTTTATCCTGTTTCTCAAGTCTTATGCAAACGCCTTTTATACCTGGCATTTAGGGCTATTTTGGAAGAATTCACAGCTGGCTTTCCAAAACATTTAACATGCTTTTGAGAAATCACCAGACAACGAATCCTGCATAGAACTCGCTTGAATCATCAAAGAAACCCACTTCTGCCAGCGGTATTTTGCCCGTTTGTTCACCAATAAGTACATCATGGGCAAGACATCAGTAATTATACTGCCATGTTGTCCTGCCAGTTCACAAACTGGAGGAAAACACTTTGATGTGGCCATCTGGCTTGTACCTTCAAAGACAGTGAGGTGCTGCCAGAGAAGAAAAGATACATGGAGGCAGTTCAGTCAATTTTGAGTTCACCCAGTTCTCCAGACCAGATGGCCAGCACCTTTCTGGTTTTCACAACTCCAATATATGATATGGCTGTGTAAGGAAAGGAAGGAGACCGATTAGAAGGCAAAACAAAGTCATATGAAAGTGTAACACTGTCCTTGTGGCTTGGCATATGGTAAGATGGCAGGGCGATAAGAAGAAATAAAGTTCTGTAAACAGTATTTCCAAGTGCAAAGGCAAGAGCCCCTTCAAACCACGCAAGTCTTCTTTACAACACAGAGCGATTCCACCTCCGCCCGTTTGCCAAACACCCAAGGAAACGGGGGTTCTGCGTTGCTTAAAGATCTCGGTCGTGGGCATCTTTGTATGCATGCCCAACATGGCAATATTTTCTCCCCCTCCTTTTGGGAACGTTAGGGCAGACTTCGTCAGCTCCCACAAACAACTGAAGCCAACTTGGTTTATCACGTTGGTTGTTTTAATTCGCTACACCTGGAGTCTGCCCGCGCAGCCAAATAAAAAAAAAAAAAAGGCTTAGTTCTGAAAATTACTGAATGAGCTTTCACCGCGAAAGCGGACTCCAGGGTTAATTCCAACATTTACTACGGGAAAAGAAAGAGACCCTCCATTGGTCGGTCTTCCAACCTCTGCGAGTCACCTACCTGCTCCGAGTTTAAAAGTAGCGAGCAGAAGGCAGGCTAACGTCTACGCCCCGTTTTGGAAGAGATGAAAAGGGTAGTAAAGCACGTCAGCCAATAACAGGCAGCGAAAGTGGGACAGCTTTGGCCGCTGGCCAATTAGAGCGCCGCATCCGGATTGCGCCTCCTCTGTCCCGCCAGCTCCCCTCCCCGCTATTTCAGCAGCTGCAAGCGCTAAAAAGCTTCGCAGAAGAGAAGGAGGAGTTTTTCAGCTGTTGTTTTGGTGAGCGGCTGGCTCGCTCGCTGACTCTACGCGGGGCTTGTGCCGCGTTCGCCTGCGAAAAGCGAGCGGGCTTTTTTTGGGGGGGGGGGACGCGCAAGCGGTTTCGGGGCTCGCTTTTCTGATGGAGGCTTTCCACCCGAGCAAGCTGGAGAAGCACCACCACCATCACCATCAGCCGGTGGAGTTTTTGCCAGGCGGCGGCAGGTACGCGGCTAAGAGCCACAGCGCCTACGGGAACGCGTTTAACTCTTGGAATGATTACCTGGGCTTGGCCACTCTGATCACCAAGGCGGTGAGCCAGGAAAAGGGCTTTCGGACCGGATCCTCTTCCGTGGTTGTGGCGGCGACCGTGCAGCAGGTCCCGGCGACCGAGGAAGGCGAGGAGGAGGAAGAGGAGGACGAGGAGGAGGAAGAGGAGGACGACGACGAAGTGGGAGCCCCTTATTTCGAGAGCTCCCTGGATTTGCACGATTTTGACTTGTGCGCCCATCACCACCTTAACCCTACCGAAAGCCTGCTGGAGGAGCGTTTCGCCGATTTTAGCCCCTTCTCGGGCAGATCCAGCCCGGCGTCGGTGGTCTTCAATTGCTCCCCCGACCATCTGGAAAGAGATCGCTCGCCTCACGCTTGGGGCGGCCGCCTGCTGGTAGATGGCCGGCTACAAGCTGCCCCGAAAAGCGCCTCCAGGCTGCTGAAGCCGGAATTGCAAGTTTGTGTTTTCTGCCGGAATAATAAGGAAGCCGTGGCCCTCTACACCACGCACATCCTTAAGGGACCCGACGGCAGAGTCTTATGCCCGGTGCTGAGGCGATACACGTGTCCTCTCTGTGGAGCCAGTGGGGACAATGCGCACACGATCAAGTATTGCCCCTTGTCTAAAATGCACGGGAGCGCCCCCAAACAACCGCTTAAAAACGCCCGGCACATCCTGGGCAAGAAGCTCCGCTAGGGGGCGCTTCTCGAGCCTTGGCCGCGTCGGTGTTTGTGGAGACAGGACTGCGGATCAAAAGACATTGATTGGATCAAGGAAAAAATAAAATCCACTACGATTCATTCTTTTCTTCTTCTTTTTTGTTCTCTTGCGCGCGTGTGCCCTCTACAGGGATATTAAAAAAAGGCATTTCCTTTTTGGTTGTTTTTTTTTTTTTAAACACTGTAATCAAATGTTTCTTAATATATTTAAATATGAAGACGTAGAATGTACAGAGAGATGTTCTTGATTTATGTATCAAATAATTGAGTATAGTTTCTAGTTTGTATATGTAGTAGCCAGGGAGCCTGGCCTCTGAATTAACTCTTTAAGAATTATAACATACCGTTTAGAGGGTACTGTATTTGTTTATTGTGAAACTTACCAGATTTTTAAATGGGACTAAAGATATCTCTTGGGCATATGCTCCATTTGCTGCAGCTTTGTTTAATATTCTTGGCTGGAAAGGGAGCACTTTTGAATAAAGAAAATTACTGTCTTTAAACGAGGCAGCCTAATACAAGTAATATGTATGAATCAAATGATTTTTAAGGAGATGTTTGGCTGGTCCTGCAATGATTATAAAGCAAGGTTGGAAAGATTTATTAAATGTGTTGACTTGGCATTTGCTTCCTTTGCTGTCTTCATTGTCTTCAAGCAATATTTTGATTACTAAAAAAAAAAGGGCTGCACTTTATGCTTAGAAGTCTTATAGTTTCGAATTCACCTCTTAACCTTTTTTTTCCTCACAGCTATTTTTTTTTCCTCACAGCTATTGAGATTTCACCATTGCCTCCTTTCTCCAAATTCTAGTTACCTCCAGCTGGTCCAATTGAGACCACCTGGTTGATCTTTGTGACACTTTAGAAAAACCTGTTTTTTTCCCCTGAATATTCTCCATCACCTCAATACATTTTTTTGCTTCCCCAACCAAGACTAGTTTTGCCTGTCCTTCTGTGCCATCATTCCCACCCACCTCCCAAAATATGTATTAGACTACGTATTTGTGTAGCTGGCATGGAGGCTGTAAAGTGGATTTGTTTTGTAAATTTGAAGTTGTAAATCAGTCCCATAAGTTATGCCTTTTAATGCCAGATGATGGTAGTGCCTTTTCTAACAATTTCTATTAAAATGTAATAAGCTTTTATGAACTGCATGCCACATACAGTTTTCATCCTACAATGTAAGCAGAGAAGTATCAGAATGGCAGCTTACTTCAAATTAAGTTGATACAAAAATCAAAGTATACCAGAAAAACAAGGGAACAGAAAAAACATCCCTGTATAATTCAAAAACAAAGGCAAATGAGTTATCTCTTCCTATGCAATGTCTTTAAAACTAAATAGCAAAAAGGAAATATGTATGTTCAGCTTAAGAAATGGATATAAATCCACAACTGGTACATATAGCAGTAAAAGCTGGTTATGATTTATTGCTCCAAACTTTATATTTTTGTTTTCCTCCTCAGTATACTACCGGTAAATACTGTTTGATACTGGTTTCCAGAGTGAAAGCCAGTGTTAGTTTCAACATGATCTAAGATTTTTTTCCCACAGCAAGTATAGAGTTAATGTCTGCCAATTATATTTTTCACATACAATATGAGTAGTGTGCCATTTTTAACAAGATACAACATGCTCTTAGTAAGATTGAAACTAGCATTGTAAAACTAACAGCACTCATTATTTATTCAAACAAATTATATATTGCTTACTTTACACCTATATAATCACACACAGAGAACCTAGTAGGTGATTGCTACACTCCAAAAATATTTTTAGCAAGTTTGTAAAAAGTGCTATCTGAAATCTCTATGAGTTCCAAACTACAGAGAATGTGACTAAAGAGCACCAAAGGAACATCTGTTTTCTGTGCTAACCATTTCATTTTTTTTCAAGTAATTTTGTTAAAGGTAACAGTAAAAATGCAAAAAAAAGAAAAATAGAAAGGAATAAAAGGTACAAAGGGGAAAAAATAGGAAAAATGCAAAGAATAAAGAAAGAAAAAAGATACATAAAGAAGTGACTCCCAACCTGCATCACAAGTATAAGCAATTTTAGTAACTTTTTACATTCTCTTAAATGGCAAGAAATAATCTCCATACCACATCTGTTATGTATAATTACTATTTAACCTTGATCAAATTAACCAAGTTTATATTCATTTTGCAGTCACTCTTTCATCCATTCAAACAATATCATAGAACTTGATTTTATTTCCTCTTTGCCCCTTCTCATGAAACTCTTCAAAACTTCAACAAATCTGTTTTATCAATCCAAAATAGAAAAATTATCCAGGTCACTCTCTTGGTTTATTGTTTGTATGTCTCTTTAATTATTAAAACAACAGCAAGTTTCTTTTGTATATTAATTGAAGCATGTTTTTCCACATCATTATTAGTCTGTCATTTCAACTGTTTCGGTCTTGTCAGGTAAAACTTGTTCCTCTTTCATAACATCTTTTTGACAGACTATCCACAGAGGCAGATGTTATTAATATCAATTTTTAATTCAATGTTTTGAAAATATTCAATATTTCCAGTGTTAAGACGATCTGGCATCATATTGTCATTTGTGTTTTTCTCCTTTAATTGAAATCTTTAGTTCCTCTAGAGTCCAATTTTTAAAATCTTATTTTTTAAAAAAATTCAAAACAAAAGCATTTTCCCATAGGAAGGATTCTTTATAATTCCAAAATCTTATTTAAAGTTAATCTGGACATTTAATATTTAATCTGGACATTGAATTTTTTTTAAAAAAATTAAATTTATAAGCTCGTGGTTAAAATCACTTTTTTCCAGAGTTTTCACTTTCAAAGGTTTCCAATTGGTGAAAAGTAGTTAATAAGCAATTTCCAAACGTGATTATGAAAATACGTAAACTTAGTATCCTTTTAAAAGTACTGACTACAATTTGAGCAAGATGGCTATTTCCTTGTCTCTCAGTTCTCAAATCCCAACAGAGACCAATGTCTTGTGGTCTCCTCATGAAGGAACAACTGTCTAGGGCACTTTTGGATGATCTCTACACCAGAGGTCCCCAACCTTTTGGGCACCAGGGACCAGTCCCGTGGAGAGAAGTTTGTCTGCGGACCGGAGATGACGTGGTTTCATGTACTGTCTGCATACCACAGATGGGGCTTTGCTTGTTTACACGGACCGGTTTCTGGCATGCCGCGGCCCAATACCGGTCCACAGACTGGGAGTTGGAGACCCCTGCTCTAGATCTCTCCTTTATTTGGAGAGGTTTGAAGAGCCAGTCTACCTGCCAGTTCTTCTTTCTTAGCCACAGTTGTTGGCTCTGCTTTTCACGGAGCCATTTTCAGTCTACCGTTCTTCCTCTGGAAATCTCGTGCTAACCATTTCAGAGTAGAGAGTTCACTCATACAGGATAAAGCAGTCCTGAAGACAAACACTCTGTTATCCTATGTAGCAACTTCTAGAACAATTTGGCAAGCTTTCCCCAACTACATATCCTACAATTCTCATTTATCTTCAGTTACTTTAAAACAGGAAATTAACAACTAAAAAATTACACTTTGGTGCCCTCTACATGTGTGGATAGTTGAGAATTCTGAGAGTTATAAGCCATACATGAAAGCACCCAACTGGGAAGTTTATTGAAATAATGCTTCTTTAAAATAAAGCAAATTGAGGATAGGCTTTCAGAAAGATCTAAGGTTAAATATAATTTGTGAGTTAGCACGTGTAAATCCAGCCAACCTGGCTCATTTAATAATGACTTGGCAAGTTGTGTGAATACAGTTGCATGTTTATAAAACTGGGGATCTTTTAAGTGAATGAGCATCTTTTGAGTTCAGCTGCATTATTTACAGACATGGATTATTCTGTTTGTTTTCCACTGTTTTTGTTTTCATGGAGGCCTATAGATGGCATACAATCAAACTTCGAGGATGGAGAAGGCTTTGTGTATTTCCTTGGAAAATGAAAATGGACCATGTAATCTTTGTTTTAAATACGTTTCAAATCTTTGCTGCCTTATTTGCCTCCCCACATATAATTTTTTAAGCCTTTTTAGAATGAATTTTCAGTCTATGTCAGTGAAGGCACCTGTAGGCTCCTCAATAGTATTCCTGTTGCAGGCTTGCTATGAATATTTGCCCTTCAATAATAAAATATTGAAAGATGTGGAGTACTTTTAAGAAAGTTTGTAAATATTTAGAACATTGGAAATGAAAAATTTGAAAAATTGTTTAGGAATGTATTGTCAGATTCTTCAAGTCTTCTCAAAATAAATTCTATATAATATAAGTTTAATAGGCTTTATTCCCTTAAAATTGTTATAGCATTAGTAAAAGAAATTATTGGGAATCTGTAGCCCTAAGCTGTACAAATGAAATAAATTAAATTGTCTTAAGGCAAAGTACAGGCAGAAAGAATTTGACAAAAATTTTGATCTATCTTCATACTTGGTTTTGTTCGAATCACTGACAAAGTGCAGTCAAATTTGGGGACATGGTTAGATCTGGGAGACTGTTTAGAGAAAGATTGTTTATATTTGCTTCAAAAATTTGGTTTTAAATAAATCAAAAATTTAAGCCTTCTATACAGTAATAGTTAACTTTAAGTTGTACTTCTAGGTAATCAGCTATTAGGGCACATGTTATTAGGTTTCTGCAATATATTAAAGTTAGAAAAGTAGATTTAGATTATCCAATTTATGTAATGTAACAAAACACATATTTCTATCTGACAAGTAAGCAATTGTAATCAAGTTGCAACTGACAATGCTTCCTTTTTTTAACAAACTATTGACATCAGTACATAAATTTAGTAATTGAAATATTATCCCAGAATTGAGATTTAGCATCTTATATTCTAAACAAAATTACCTGAAAGTAATTTTTAGTGAAATTAATGGGAATACTGAAAATTAAGATAAATTAGTTTAGAGAGAAACATCAATGTTATTTTGTTCCTTTATCAGATGGACTGGAAGCTCATTTTTGTAACACAAGGAATCTATGGATGAATAAAGAGATTAATTATTTTAAACAATCTAAAAGCCCAGTTCAAAATGTTGAATTTGCCAGATGCACAATAA